AACACGCTGCAGGAAAATACGGTTTATCAACTGTCCAAATTTTGATGATCTGTATCAAATTAAATAATTTTAGCACAGTACCTAAACACAAGTACTCAATAAAAATGTTGGCTGAATGTTTTTGAATAATGATAGATAACATTTATTAAATATCTACCATGTGTTATCTGCTGATCTGTGTTTTACATTAACTCATTTATTCCTCATAAAACCCAAGAGTAGGCCCTACACTATACCATCATCATCATCATCACTCATCACCCACATTTTTAAGATAGGAAAACTCAGAGACAGAGCATGAGGCATCATGCTCCAGATTACAAAAAGACAGCCAGAATTTAAAACCAGACTCTGGTTTCAGAGCTTACTTTATTAACCATTACCCCATGCTGCCCACCAGAAAACAAGTAAGGAAAAAATGGTTAACTTACAATATTGATGTCAGTCTGTTCTCTAATGCCAAAAAATAAAGAAGTTCCATTGGATAGAGTGATATACTACCAGAGGGGGAATAAAAGAAACCTAATTGCTTTCACATAGGGCAGAAATATAGTGAGTAGATGGGGACTACAGCGAGGTTCCTTAACAATGAGGATGGAAAATGAGGGTGTGTTCACCATCTGAGACAGAAAAATGGCAAAAAGCAACAGAAAAAGGATGAACTAAACCATTTTAGGAATTCAACTATCAAGAGCTGTGTTTATAATGAAGATCCAGTAAACACTCAGGTCCAATGACAGTGGCCAAAAAGCATAAACTCAGGTCTAGAATGTAAGTGATTTCATCATAGTGAAACCAGTTTGATAAAAGAATGTACTAACAGCAAATTCTTGGCCTGTACTTAGTTTAAAAAAAAAAAAAAAGAAAGAAAGAAAATGGACTGGTAAATAGCAAACTAAAGCTACATAAAATTACCAGAAACTATTACGAAAACTCAGTCAGAAGAAAAATATCGGGCTTCCCTGATGACACAGTGGTTGAGTCCGCCTGCCGATGCAGGGGACACGGGTTCGTGCCCCGGTCTGGGAAGATCCCACATGCCGTGGAGCGGCTGGGCCCGTGAGCCATGGCCGCTGAGCCTGCGCGTCCGGAGCCTGTGCTCCACAACGGGAGAGGCCACAACAGTGAGAGGCCCGCGTACCGCAAAAAAAAAAATAAATAAATAAACAGAAAAGAAAAATATTTACCCCAGGATTATATTAATATAATACAATCTAAATTCATCTAGAATTTGCATGCACAGCATCACTGAATTGACGTCAGTCAAACCACTATGGAAAATTGGTTAGCTTGGCACGAGGAAGGGCTACTCCTAGTGTTCAAACTGAAGTCACACTTGACTCCTCCCCGGGACCACAGCTCTACCATGTGTATGTGCATTCAAGAAGCAATGAGCAACATCATTTCGAGCACTCCAGACTTAGGAACAAAAAGAAATAGGATCCATGCACACATCTAGCCCTTTGAAATAATAGTGGAGATCGGTAGGGCACTTTAAATGGGCAATGGCAAAGACTATAATTTTCTGCTAAAGGGATATTATCACAATTTTTCAACCTGGGTTTGAACCAAGGTTCGTGAGAGCACTTCTACCTAATGCGACATCACACCAGCACTTTTCTATGGTGTTCCACACAGCGGATTATAAGCCTCAGTCCTCAGCTCTGCAGAATTAATCGTTTCAAAAGGCAGCGAGCTGAACACACTAAGTTAACATGGCACCCTAGAGTGGCTTCTTTCCACTCCCCACCTGCATATGATCCTCTTCTTCAAAAGAGAGCAACATTAAAAAAAAATTATTCCCATAGTTCTTGAGTGGCTCTGACAAGCTACGATTAAAGTCTGAAACATAACTCCTGATCCCTTGTATGAGTACAAAATACAGTTAGGTAAAAGAAAAAAAAATATATATGGCTAGATGTGCTAATGAAAGTGTAGGGGAACAAATCAGTGACCCAGTT